CAAAGAAAGATCATTAAATGGTGTGGTGTTGAAATAGTCAAGAAAATGACAAGAAATTACTATTCCACTTTATGACTTTTTGCTGATTTTTGTTCCTTTTTGGCAAGTGGTGATTTGGTTGGATTTTAGGAACAAAAAGGGCCTGGAATTTTGTTCCTAATGTAGGAAGAAGAGGGGAAGTGTGTTATTTGATTATTTAAGGCTTTTTAAAAGGAAATAAAAGCAAACAAAGTTTTTTTGGTTATTTTCTTATTTTCGGCCATGGGTTGAAATAAACGTGTAGGAAGACTTTATTTTGGATAAAAGAAAAGATAAAAGACTTTTGGAAAAGTTGGGAGGGGTTGGGGTTTTGGTGGAGCCATCCAGGGGTATAACATAGTCCCCTTCTTCAAAGAAAGTTTTCCTCAAACTTTCACGCCACCGTGAATGATTGGGGTTTCATAAAAGAGTACCCGGATCAAATAGGAAATTCAATGAACCACCAATAATGAGGTTCCCTTCGGAATTAGTGGGCACCTTGTTCTGTAATTTCTGAAACATGATGTCAATCCTTGTAAGAACCTACTTCAAACATACCTCAAAGATGAGATAAGATTCTACTTCATCGAATGGTTGATAATATTCCTTGGAAATAACATCCTTAAAATATATAACACCCAATGTCGCTTCCTCCACAACAACCTCATCAATGAAGTTATCACAAATAAGGAAAATAACATCATGGTCTGATCCTTCTTGAGTCTTAGAAGTTGGTTCTTCAATGAAGACGTCATCTTCATCTTTGACTTGATAATCAAAGACGTCTTCCTTAAAGACAATTTGGTCATTTGAACTTCTCTTTTCTTTCTCATGAGTCATGGCCCACTCTTCATATGATATAGAATACTTATTTGGACACTTCCAGCAGTGATGACCATAGCAACAACACATGCAGCACCGTAGAGTAGGTCCTTGTAGAATTGCCTCATTAGTATAGATAATCTCCAGATTCTTGAGGTGTCTTTGGACGTCCATACTTCACTAACAAGAGATTTGAATGTAGTAATTCCAACTCTCAAAGTTAGATATTGTAGTCCTTAAACATATACCAAAATTTCAGAGCCATTGAAGAATGTTTGCTATCTTTTTGGAGACAAAACTAACAGGAGAAAAAAAATTCAGACAAGATCGTGTTGTCAACTAAGGAACGGCGTATCTCACAAACCGTAACACAGAATGGAGTGAAATCAGTGGCCAGGCGTAGATAAAAGGATAAAGGCCAAGATGGAAAGTTTCACGTTGAAATTAGTTGTGCACCTACCTCTGTGATCACTTCTTTGAGGTTGAAAGTTTCAAGAGCAATTTTCAGCAGCCTTGTTCTTGAGCAACGTGGTTGAAGCTAGTCCTCCGGGTAATTGTCGAGACTTAAGAAAGTCGTCTATGTTGAGCTTTGATACCAAATGTTAGGGTTGAACCAGGGGTCTTATCTAGTTGAAAATTTAATGGGGAATCGGTTAAGGAATTGAATGGGCAGTGTTATAGGCTTAATTGGTGAGGGATGAAAAGGGGAAGTATGGGTGTTCTCTTGGCTTGAGAATGTGAAGGAAATGGCATGAGATATGCGGAGAGAGGCCTAGGTGAAATGGTGATATATAGGAGGGGTTCTATTTGGTATTTTTGGATGAAAGAAAAGAATAAGTTTAAGAAGAAGAAATAGAGAGGTATTGTTAGATATCCAGGAGCATCAACGAAGACTTTCCTTAGTCCACAAAAGGAAAGACAAATGAGGGGAATGAAGCAAAAGTGTGGTGACTTTAATTGTGGTTAAGCCATTCCTTTTTCCAAATTTAAAACCCAAACCAACACCCTTGTTTTCATACACCCCACCTAGGCCGAACCAACAAACCATTTTTCTTCCCTAAACTTCAAAAACACTTTGCCTTTTAATTCCTTTCAAAATAAAGTCTTCCTACACTTTTTTTCAACCCATGGCCGAAAATAAAAAGAAGACAAAACCAAAACCCTTTATTGTTATTATTTCCTTATTTTAAGACTTTTAATAAACAAATAAAACCTTTTCTTCCTTCCTTTCATTCCTTGGCCGGATAACCATCACCCCCCCTTGAACCCGACATTGTCCCTCCATTGAACTTACAAGCTAAGGGCCAAAACCACATTAAACCATAAGCCTATACAATCCTTACATTCCTTCCATGTAGGGGCCAAAAATACAAATCAAGCCCCTCTCTTATCCCATGTCATAAGCCTTTTCTTGTCCCCCATTGTGTCCCCCAACTAGGCTGAACAAATAGCCACATTAGCCTCAAGACACATTGTCCCGCCACCACACCAATCAAGCCTCCCTTGTTTCCCCATATACTTCCTAAGGGATACATCCAAAAAAAGCCAACCCATTCCCCTCTTTTAGCCCTTCTCTTGGCTGAAATAACCCCACCAAAACCAAACAAATAGGTGGGTAATTTTCACATGGTCATTACCTCCACGTATGACCAAAATCCCAACCCCACAAGTACAACCCATTCCTAAATTTTCTCCCTATCAAAAGGACAACAACAAGTGGAGGTCATGCTACTAATTTGAGAGAACAAGATATGAAGTTTCCTTATGTTTGCATCCATTGTATTGTGTGTCCCCCCTTTTCCCCTCCTTATATATTTCGGCCATATGGCCATTGTAAAAGGCCGCTTTTGATGAATTAAAAGCTTTATTCTTTGTGCATATTTTAAGGTAGTGTGATGCTATTTTAGCCAAATTCCTAATCCTATATCTTAAGAGTCGATATCTTAAGTGTGAGTTTTAGATCTTGATTCAAATCCCAAGTTAAGATAAGAGTGTGTCATATCTCTTAACCCCAACTTGGTTTTATCTATCTCTGATTTCTTCCATTTCATATCCTTCCATTTCTTCTTCTTAATCTTATTCTTTTCTTCCATTAAAACAGCAAAAAGAACTCCTCTTTACATTCCTAATTTCGTGCACCTCCATTTCCCCTTCACCATCACAAATTTCCACCTCAAAAACTTCAACTTCATTAGACCCCCAGTCTGAACAGGTATGAAATGGGCAGAGGTAAAATGAAGGAATAAACCAAATTGGTGTTAAGAAATATGAAATACTCTTATCTTAATTTGGGGTTTTGAATCTTAAATTGAACTAAGATATGACACACTTAATAAAATATCTAGAACCTAAACCCACACTTAATATAACCATTCTTAAGATATAGAATTAGGAATTTGACTAAAATAGCATCACACTATTTTAAGAGAATACTCAAAAGAGTAACAAAAGTTATCATTCAAATGTGTTGTCTTTCCAATGCTATTTGGTCGAACATATATACAAGCAGGAAGGGGGAGTATTACAACATTAAATGAAAACAAAATACAACTAGGAAACTTCCTTCAATCTTCAATACATTTGACATTATCACAAACATATAGTTGAGTTGAACTCAAGGATAAAAGGGATGGATTTTGTTTGGCCTTTTGTGATTTATTATTTTGGCCTCTTATAAAGATAGTGCAAGGACATAATGTGGCTTTCGTTATACCTAGTTTTTGCTTGTTTTGGGTTGTGGAATTCCGGACAAATCAAAGGGTGGCTAGTGGAGGACTTTCCTTGGCTTGAAGTGAGTGAGTATTTTCGGCATTTAGCTCATAAATCAAAAGGGGATGTTGTGGGATTTTAAGAGACATTATTCCTTGTTTTATTTGCAGGATTTTCAGTTTATAGTGCAAGAAGGAACAAAGAAAGATTATTTAATGGTGTGGTGTTGAAATAGTCATGAAAAAGACAAGAAATTACTATTCTAGTTTATGACTTTTGGCTGATTTTTGTTCCTTTGTGGCAGGTGGTGATTTGGTTGGATTTTAGGAACAAAAAGGGGCTAGAATTTCGTTCCTAATATAGGAAGAAGAGGGGAAGTGTGTTATTTGATTATTTAATGCTTTTAAAAAGGAAATCGCAGCAAACAAAGCTTTTTGGTTTATTTTCTTCTTATTTTCGGTCATGGGTTGAAATATAAGTGTAGAAAGACTTTATTTTGGATAAAAGAAAAGATAAAAGACTTTTGGATAAGTTGGGGTTTTGGTGGAGCCATCTAGGGGTATAACATACTCCCCTTCTTCAAAGAAAGTTTCCTCAAACTTTCGCACCACTGTGAATGATTGGGGTGTTGAAACACGGGTTTATCGTGTTTTCGTAATAAAGCCACGTTCGTTTTTATGACAGGTTTTGATAATGCCAAACCGCCGTGAACGAGACAAGTTATTGAATATACAAGGCGAGAAATAAATATAAGAAGAAAGCAAGAGAACAAGACCCAAAAGAAGACCAAGAACGAAGACCGTTGTCTTAGTGTTGTTGAGTCGGTCATAATTGTGATCAAGACCGACCCAACCTTTACACCTTGGCTCTTTAGGCTAAAATTCTTTTCATTGCATTTCACACATCATAAAAATGTTTTTCAAACATGTTTAAAACATTAAAAACACTTGGTGTTCGCCCAAACCAAAAATCAAGCCATCCGGCGTTCGGGTTTCAGAAACCAGCGTTCGGCTTTCGGTCGTCGGGTTTGGTTTTTGGCGTCCGAACTAACCAAGTGGTTTTCAAATTTTTATGATTGGTTTTTACTTCTGGGCACATTTAAATAGTTTTCCATCAAAAACACTTCAAAAACCACCTTTCGCTTTTAGTCGTTTGACAAAAACCACGCGAAACGGCATAAACTTGGCTAGCCGTGGTTTTCACTTAAATGAAGTGGTTTTCGAGTCTTTTTTGTGGGAATTGTTTTTGAATGCATTTAAATGGTTCTCCAATCAACACATCATGAAAACCACCTTCCGGTTTTTTCTTTTTGTGAAAACCACCCGTGTACGGTGTTGACTTGGTCAACCATGGTTTTTACCTTAACGACGTGGTTTTCAACTTACAAAGCTTTTTTTGACATCACAATACATTAAATAAGTGTTTTAAATACTTAGTTTTTACTTTGGAGAACTTTGCATTTTTCGGTCGGGTTTGAGCGCCGGTCGGCTAGGCCATGGTTCTGGGCTAGCCATCTACCCAGCGATGGTAGACTTTACCCATGCATGGGTAAGTGATCCTGGGATTCCAGAATCATGCTACCCAGCGATGGGAAGATCTTCCCATCGATGGGTAAGCAGTCCCTCAACGAAACTGATTTCCAGAACCATGCCAAACAGCGATGGGAAGTTCTACCCATCGCTGTTAAAGCCTTGGTGCAACATTACCACAAGGCAGAATGCCCTTACCCAGCGATGGGAAGGCTTAACCATCGATGGGAAGGCATGACCGTTGGGAGTCATTTAAGGCTGATTCTTTCCTTATTTGAAAGTCAACCTCCCACCCAGCGATGGGAAGCATTTACCCATCGATGGGTAGGTAACCGTTGGCTTCAAAACTGATGGAAAATTGGCTTACCAGCGATGGGTAAGTTCCAAACATCGATGGGAAGCCAATATCCTGCAGATCCCAAATTTATTCATACCCATAAATCAAGCCAATCACCCCTTTAATGCATTGGTCCGTTGGAGCCTATTTTGGCACTATAAAAAGGGGTGTTTGGGTCTGCTTTACACATGAATTCACTTCACTTTATTCATATTATCATTGCATCCAAACAACATTATTTTTCATAGCTTTCTAGAGCCAATTTGTGAAGTTTGAGTTGTTCTTGAGCGTATATAGTTTACTCAACATCTACTCTTAAAGAGAGTCTTGTTCTTGAGTGTTCTTAGTGTTGTAAACACTTTTAGGGAAGCTTGTTTCCCTTGGTTGTACGAAGGAAAGGTATTTTCCTTCGGGTTGAAGTCTTGGAGTGCGGTATCTCCGAGCAAGTGTATTGAGGCTCGTGGGACTCGAGTTCTCAGGTTGTAACGGTTTGTTAAGCACCCGTAAGCTTAACGGAAGTAGTGTAGCTCGAGAGAGTCTCTCGGGAGGCTGGATTAGCCACAAGTTGT